GGGCAAGATGTTCCAACGGGCAGGGGCTACAGCAGAGAAGGCCCGCCTTCTGGACCCCACTAGTCGGAGTTCTTTTGCCGAGGGGGGCTGGAGCATGCCCTCTCTGTGAGATCGGGTGGGACGGGTTGAAATCATGGGGGCGAGGCGGTCCCCCAGGTAGCCGGCCCCATGCCATGTAGGGCTTTAAAAGTCATAACCAACACCTTGAATTGGACCCGGAAGCAAACTGGTACCCAATGCAGCTCACGGAGCAAAGGTGTTATATGGGTCCTTCTTCGGACTCCAAAAATAGCTCGCGCGGCTGCATTCTGGACCAGCTGAAGCTTCCGGATACTCTTCAAGATAGTAAAAGCAATATTTTTTTAAAAAATCAATGAAATAGCTTGGGAATAAACAAAACTTCATTCAGCACTTCAGTTAAATGATTAGCAGAGCAAGGAAGTGGGCTGATTTCAATACACAGTTACCTAAGTCTTCCTCAAACTAATACCTCTCACATGGTTGGATTTCAGTTCCTATAACCATTATCCAACTTGGCCTTGCAGGCTGGGAACTATTAGAATTGAAGTCCAGCGTATCTGGAGGGCACCAGGTTGGGGAAGGCCATTTCAAACCCTCTAATGATTCTTCTAAACAAATCTTGATAAAATCAGGGGGCTTCATATGGGTGTTAACATTTCAATACTTTATTGAGTAGTGAGCTGCAAATTGTCCATACGAATTATTCTAAAATGTCCAGTTATGCAAATGCTTTGAAAACCTCCACAATAACCATGAATAAACCCAGAATAAAAAAGTGAGCTACTATGTGTCAGTCCAATTGTCAAGCACACAAAATAATAAGCAATCTTCGTTATCCACAGCAAATGATGATGATGAACTCTTATTCAAGAGTTCTGAACTTGTCAAGCATCAGTGAAGAACATAAAACAATAATGGGAACTGAGACAAATTAGTTTGACTTTATAGACTCATGATATATCTAATCACTTAGTCGCTCCTTGCTATGAGATGGATGCAAAGCGTGACCCCTGATTCAGAAGCTACTCCACAACTCCAGGTTCCTACACAGCCAAGGAGCTGTAAATTTGATCTCTCGTAACACAGAAGTCAACAGTAGATGGTGCTGTTTCTAAAAGGCATGACGAGAACTGCCTTGCTGGGTCAAACCTGAACTTGGTGGAAGACAACAGATATCCTTGCGGAAAATCACAGCATCATCAAGACAATCCAACCCTTGTTTGCCACAAGCACCTGATACTCAGAAATATGCCTATGATTGAATATAGCTCTAATCCAGCCACTGACACATTTTTATCTCTGAATCTGTTTTACATCTTTTGAACCAGCTGCATTCCCTGTTTTCACCGGAGCCCATTCCTTGTCTTCATGTTAACTATGAAAGACGCAATGCCATTAAAATTCATGCAGTGCCATTAAAGGATGACACAGGGGTATCACGACTGACTTCCTATCTAAGCAGAGGGGCTTTCCTTCATCTGAGGATTCCTGGGAATTTTATAAGATTTTTCTTTTCACTCTCATGAACCTATCCTCATTTTCACTGATGGGTGGATTTCAAACTCTAGCAGTCTGAAGAATCTTCGCTGTTTTCCCTAAATTGTTAGGATTTTCAGTGAAGCTGAAACTAATGTATGGACTGACAAGACAGCAGGAATCTCTGCTGTTTTCTCTAAATAGCTAAGATTTTCAGTGAAGCTGAAACTAGTCTATGGGTTGACAAGGCTGCAGCCGCCGACACTGGGGATTCTACAGCAAACTAAAAATAGCATTCACAATCCAATTAATTTAAAAAGGATAATGAGGAGGAAGAATGACACTGCTGGTTACCAAAACTCAGAAGCTTTGGGCATTTTCACACAAGATCACATGAGATTTGGACTATTTTAAAATATATTTGGGGGGGAGGCAGTATATCTTATTGTCAAAAAAGACAGCACAATAACACTCAAGCTTCAGAAGTTCCAATTTGCAGGCTATTGATTAGGCTTTGCAATGGTACTATCAAAGAAATCTGCATGCTTCCTATAATTTATAGCAATTTTTAAGAATGACACAATAGTTGAACAAAAAAGAAAAGGTTTCATGTCTTATTCCACTATTCTTCAAAAATTATTTGCTTATTGAAGCTGATGTTTTAAGGATTGTATGGTTTTCTTCTCAAAGGCCAACGGTTACTTCAGATGATGTGGTTCCACTGAATGGAGCAACGAAGATGCGCAGATCTGGTATATCCAGAACTGACTTTTGCACCTAGGCTGGATAAGTCAATGCTCCCATTGTTTCATGGGTGATAGTACAACTGAGGCCTAAATGTGTAGATCCATTTTCACTATACCAAGTTAAGTGGCAATGCCTTGGCTAATTTTGAAAGAGTGTGGACATGTCCTTCTGTCTCCAGCAGTCAAGTTCAACTTGAAGAAGTCTTTTATTTCACTGATGCCATTTCCACATAAGAATGAAAGGACCACACCCTTGCACAACTCCATGTGATGATCACAAAATGATGAAATACACATTCTGTGGAATACATCCCACATTTAATCCCTGTTGGTTGGGGTAGGAGAATATCCAATCTTAAGGGCCACTTAATGCTGATCAAGAGTAGTCAACCTAGTGAATTACAGATATTTTGTGTACTGTACAATGTCCATATTCCTGAACATTCTAGCTGGGGTTTCAGAGAGAGGTAGCCCAAAATATTTCAAAGGAACCAGATTGTTTATTTTTGGTTGGGACAATGAGTTGGTATAAACGCAGCCTCATGCAGTACATTCTAAATTTAACTTTCAAATTGGGACAGAATAAGTGTGTGTTTATACGTTTACTAGCTTTGAATCTTAACCGATCACTTCATTGTATTGTCAAAGCCAATCACATATGGTTTAAGCCAACCTTCTCCAACACAGGTGCTTTCCAGATGTCTGGACTTCCACCCCCAGAATTCTCAGTACATCTGGGAGGGCAACCAGACTGAGTAAAGCTAGCCTAGACACATATATTGGGTAGATAATGAGTTGGGCAAACAAGCTTCAGAGACCATGGAGAACTCCATGATAACACCATAGGGCTCAGAATGGGCAGATCACATGATTCAGGGCTGTAAGGAGGGATATTCCACTCTCTGCAGTGTGCACAATCTACACAACCAAACCATGTGAGATCTGGCCATCAGGGTGAAGTCATGCAACTCCTAGACATTTTGCTCCAACAGCCATGAAAATATAAACAGCTGGAGGGTTGATTTGGGTTTTCCTTAAAAACAACCAATGTTGCTCTCACACCAGAGAGAAGCTCTTCAAAGCACTGTGACATAAAAAAAAAAAATAGGACAACTCACTTGACACAAAAGTTCTTCTGTGTGTCAAAGTCACTGCTAAGCAGGCAACCCACAAAAGATGAGTTGCACTTATATAAAGCAACTCACAGGGAGGGGGTTGCAAATTCTGAAGAAGCTGTTCTAACTGAACAGGCATTGCTGTAAATCTGGGAGAGTGGATGAAAAACTGATTCTTTCATCAAAACATGACTGCTCAAAAAATGCCCCGTGCACCCAAAAATCCTATCAGAATGCTGTTAAGGGCCTAATAATTGAAAACAATCAAGTGCAATCTTAGTATGAATGCAAAGATTAAAAACTGCCTAACCCAGTATGATGCCTTCCAAATGTGTTGGATTACAGCACCCAGAATGTTCAAGGGCAACACCGGCTGAGAATTTGGGGGCCTACAACCCAATCTATCACAAGGGCACCAGGTCATGAAAAGTTAGAATGAAAGGATGTGGAGTTGAAACAGAGCAGAGATGAGCAGCTGTAGGCCTGGTCTTGCATGGGGCCCCAAACCTGATTTTCCTTTTCCTTTCGGTAGGTCCAAGACCCCTCTGAAATTATGGCACTGGAATTAGGCAGGAAACCACTGATTTTAGACAAATGATATAGAAAAGGTATACAAGATGTTGGAATTAGAGAATGTTCTCCCAACTCAAACTTTCCATGCATCCCAGGTATGGCATGCTGGGGTCAATGGCCAGCCAATGTGACCCTCACCTGGTGGAATGGGGGGAAGAAGGTGGAATATTTTAAAAGCATGTCCTACTGGCTGACAGATGTTTGTCTGATTGGGAAGAGAAGGTGTGAGTGCCTACCAGTCTTTTTTCCACCTAAAGTTTTAAGAACATATTTGAAATTAAGCTCAAACAGGCTGCTTTTCTGTGGCAGCACCAGTGCTCTAGAACAGCCTCCCAATGGCTCCCTTCTTGCTGGCTTTCCTGAAAATATTAAAACCTGTGGCAGGGTAGAAGAGAGAGAGAGAGAGAGGGAGAGAGGGAGGGAGGGAAGGAAGGAAGGAAGGAAGGAAGGAAGGAAGGAAGGATCTGGACTGCTGCAAAACAAGCCATTCAT